GGGCTTGAATAAATAATGTTGATAGCTTATCTGTCTGTCAAAGCTACAAAATTAACTTTTATATTGGTATCCTCTTGAGCAAATATGCCACCCATTCATTTTAAAAAGTATCCCTGTTTAACCACATAGATGTCAGTTGTATGGTTTCATTGAACTCATCCAAGTTGCGATGAAATATGCCATGAAACAGGTTTCTGCAGGATTAGGTATTTGGTGGTATCAGGTAATTCATCACTGAGACCTTGGGGGCCAGCTGAATAATGAGAGAAAGGCAAAACATTAAGCAGCATTAGTTTTCTTCTGCTTTTGTTTTGGATTGGTAGAGTTGTTACCAGACAGTGTATAAAGATCTGCTGGAGATACACCTGAACTATTAAATGTCTGTATGTAAGGAAATGGCATTGCAAAGTATAATCAGTCACCTCTTGGTATCTGTGGGAGACTGGTTCCAGAAATCCAGAGTCCCTTCTGTAAAACAGCATGGCATTGATATTTAATCTATGCTTCCCATCCTTTAAGATATCTCTAGATTACTTATGATACCTGATACAGTGAATATTGTACTGTACTACTTAGAAGATAACGACAAAGATGCCTGTATATGTTTAATATAAATGCAACTTAAAAACTATTTTCAATCTGCACTTGATGGAATTCGCAGGTGAAGAACTTTCAGATACTGAAGGCTGACGATGTATTTTCAGCCAGTTATACATAGATATTTTACATTAAAAATATAGGTACAAAATGCATTGAATCTTTATAAATTCTACCTAGTGCATTTACTGACTTAATTGCTTTAAGTTAAACCCCCAGAGATGGGTCACATGAGACATAGCAAGTCCAATGTATCTGAATGGGCTGTGACCTCTCCTCTCCTTCCATCAAGTTCAGGTACATACAGTGGGTAGAAGGATTATCTGAACTGGGTAGAAGTTTCCACTGACTTTCAAGGCCTCAAATGGTCTACCCTATCAGTCATTGCTTGAGACTTCAAAAACACAGGTGAGTGTCTGCACTCACCTTGGATTTGGCCCATGCCCAGACGACTTTGCATGGAATAAATGGCACCTTAAACTGTTCACTGGTGCAGGGAGAGTGTGTATTTTATGATGTGCATTGAATGCCTTAGATAAAATTTGCTGTATAAATGTGACAGTTTATCTCAGTTTCACAATGCTGCTGCTAATTTAGTTCTGTAAAGCAAATGGAGTGTTTACTACTCAGTAACCATCACACATCGGATCTTGCTAGTTTTGTAAAAGGGTGGTGAAAGAAAGTGAACAGTGGATGAAGGGACAAAAAATTTTGCTATTGCTGTGGGCACTAGCAGCTCACTTTATTTTCCAGGTAAACCTCTGAGTTAGGAACTGTCCACCATGGTAATGAATTGGAGTGGAATTTAACCCCCCATTTTAGGGTTATGGTTTATTGCCAGAGATTAGTCATGATGTGGATAGAAAACCATATGCAGGATATGGGCTAATTATTTAGTGAATGGCAGCCTCACTATTGAATCTTACTGTTTAGAAATGTGACCTTGTATTTTCACAAACCTAACAGTCCAATTTTGTGGTCATTAAAATACTAGACACAGTCCTGTTTCCATGTAAGCTTATAAAATTAAGGTAAAACTTATGCCAGTAAGACTTACTTAAAATAGTATGTGTCTTAAAAACAGCTCTTAGTCTTTGACTGGATGTCGTCTTATTCTTTAGCAAAACACAGACAATTCAGATATGGTTTGTCCTCATCCCCTGCATCCCCCTCAGGCTCCTAACTGGGTTTCATGTCTTCTTATTTGATAGATTTTGCTGTGTAATACTTCGAACTATTAGGAAGAAAAATAAAACCTCTGTCACAGAAAATGGATTTTTATTTAACTGAAAAAGAATAATGTATGTTTTTTTTTTTAAAACCTCACCATTTCTTGAGAGAGAGAGAGAGAGAGGAGAGAGAGAGAGAGAGAGAGAGAGAGAGAGGGGAGAGAGAGAGAGAGAGAGAGAGAGAGAGAGAGAGAGAGAGAGAGAGACTGAGACTTTCTGTAGGTCAGGCTAACCTTGAACTCAGTGGCATTCTGTCTACCTCGGCCTACCAAGTGCTGAGATTATAGGCATGAGCGTCCATACCCAGTAAGCCTTATTTCTTCTTATAACAAAGGCTTAACTAGTTAAAAGAAAATTATCAAGGCAATTTAGTTACATCAGTCTACCATCAAATAATATTTTTATTCTTATTCTTTGATTCTTTTTCCAAGAGTAATGGCAGACACTTTTGGAGGTCAAGTGTTTTGTTGTTGTTGTTTTGTGATGCTGTTTTTGAGACAGGGTCTTGTTGTATAGCCTAAGCTGGCCTGGAACTTACTCTGTAGCCCAAGTTAGCCTTCAATTGAGAGTCCTCTTGCCTCAGCCTCATTAGTACTGGGATTACAGGCATGTACCACCATGCTTGGCTCAATTAAAAAACTATATATTAAAAATTGTATTTAACTGTGGAACTCTTGGCTAGTAGAGTAGTAACAACAAAGATTTAAATATGTTCTTTAAAATACAGTGTAAATTTGGTAAGAATCAGAAACAATTGTTATAGGAACCTACCACTTGTGTGTGTGTGTGTGTGTGTGTGTGTGTGTGTGTGTGTGTGTGTGTGTGTATGTGTACCGTGCGCGTGCGTCTGCCAGGCATGGGGGGCCGGCGGGGTGCGTCCCACCCCGCCACCTGCCCTTGGGTTCAGTGCCTCCGCCAGTGCCCTGCCAGTTGGTCTCTGCATCTGTGCCAGGGCGCGTGTCACCAGCGTCCCTTACCCTCTCGCCTCCTTGGTTCCCCTCAGCGAAACCCCACCCTGCCCACTAATAATTTCCCAGCACAGAGTCAGACCCAAACCTGGAGAGACGGCGCTGCCTCGCAGCTCCCCTCGCCCCCTCCCCCTCCTACTATAAATAACCAGGGCTAGCGGGTCAGGAACGTCACAGCGCCAGAAACCAGGACCCCGAGGTTTTCTTCTCTGGGAATAGGGGGCAAAGGGTGAGGAGGAGGAGAAAGAAATTGCTTGTGAGTAGTGAAAAGAAGCTTGCTTCCTTGACTCCCAGAAAGACTAGGCATCTTTGGATTCTTTTATCCTTCCCCCCTTTCCTTTTTCCCCTTTTATTTTCTTTCATATACCCACATCCCACACACACCCCACTCCCCGTTTGCTCAGCACTCCTCCCATTGGTTTCTTTCCTCCCTCCCCCGGGACTCTGGATCCCACCATCCCCTCCCCCAGCTGCTCCCTCTCCCCCACATCCCACCTCCCATTGCCCCAGGCAGGGGATGCTGTTCGCCCAGGAAATAAAAGTTCCAAGTCCTCTCCCTTCTCCCTCCCTAAACCAGAAGTGAGCTTTCAGGCACCCATCTTCTTCTCGCACTTCCCCTTTCTCTTCCCCTTTCTTTCCTTTCTTCAGGTGTTGCCTGTCTCCACATTTTCTCTTTCAACAGCTGTCCCTAAAATTAGACAGTGAGGTACTTTTCATATTCAGCTTCACTCATTGATTCCAGCCTACTCTAGTTAGAATCAGGCTTGTCACCACTATTTCAGATGGCCGCCTCTTGAAATGTTCTCTTTTTTTGGCCACAGGATAAAACACTGTCTTGGTTTTCTTCCTGCCTTTCTGGCCCCACCCTTTTCACTTGCTGCCCTCCCTTGGCCAATCTTGACACTTTCCTGGCTCAGATCTGGGATCCTTTTCTGTAGATGCAGTCACCCCGGAATCTTCCCATTTGTTGCCTGCAGTCTGCTCTACACATTGAGCATTCCTAAAGGTTTATTACTTTTTCCTGCTTGTCCATGAACCCCAGTGTTCACTAAATCTCTCCATGTGGATGTTTGATGGATACTTCCAAATGCCTAAAATAAAATTCTTGTTCATTCTCCAAGCACCTGATGATTTTGGTCTCCCCTTCACAGTGAGGGGACCACTTTTCACCAGCTACTAAAACTGAGATCTAGACTTTGACCTTCATTCTTCTCATTTTGCAAATTCTATCAACATTTAGAAGACTAACCTTGCTAGACCACTGGACATCTGCAATGCTCTTGGGGCTTCTCTTTCCTGCACTCTTTAGCGTCTGTCTCTGCATAGCATCCAGAGTGGCTTTTTGAAAAGCTATATCAGGTCCTGGAACACTCTACCTAATCAAGGAGATAGTGAAAGAAGCACGTTAGTGCTGAGGCAGGGCAGGAACCTTGGGCTTCCTGGGAGGTGGGAGAAAGTGCCTTTTGTTTTGGTTGGTAGAGCCCTGTTTTTACACATGAGAAACCAATAACTCATGAGAAGTCACTTTATCATATAAATAGTGTGGTGTATATATGTGAGGAGGGGGTACTGATTTTGATAAGACAAATCTTCATAGAGAAGATATTTTCTTGAGCTCCTGAGGGATAAAGTAAATTTTCACTGTGGCTGGGTGGGAAGTCCTAAGGAAGCTAAAAGCCTGGCTTGAAGAGGAGCCCTGGGTGTTCTGTGCAGTGCTTTTCAGAGCTACCAAGTGGTTGGGAGCCAGAGCCCAACACAGGTGGGAATGGATAGCAGCAGGAAATAAGATGACACATGGGGTAGGCCTGTTTTAAAGGACTTTAGATACTAGGTTGAGTTTAGAGGTTAAGTGATAAAAAGCTGCCTTGAGAACTTTTCTAGAATGCATTCTCCTTTCTCTTGTGCACACGATAGCACTATATAAGTTTTAAAAAATTACACTCTTTTTCTTTCTTTCTTTCTTTCTTTCTTTCTTTTTCTTTCTTTCTTTCTCTCTCTCTCTCTCTCTCTCTCTCTCTCTCTCTCTCTTTCTTTCATTTATTATTTATTATTTGTGTGTGCACTTGTAGAGGTTAGAGGACAATTTGTTCTCTACTTCTACTATGCAGGTCCCAGGGATTGAAGCACGATGTCATTCTTACCTACTGAGCCATCTCACCAGCCCTAAATGTGCTGTTTTAAATGGGCTTTTAAATTCTCATTGTAGGATTAATCACAATGAAAGGTTGGAGTTCCTGGGTGATGCTGTTGTTGAGTTTCTGACCAGGTAAGTAGGCTTCCCCTGCCACAGTTCCCCAGTAATTACATTTTATAGATAGCATATTTAGTACATTACCCCCTTTGTAATTAGCCAACAAGGCATTGAAACACCATGTATTTTCTCTCCTGCGGAGCTTAAAAGCCACATGTCTGTGGCTCTTGCCCTGACAACTGCACTTGCTGCTGCTGTAATGGTGAGATTACAAGATGAAAGGCTGGTGCTCTGTCCTGTCAAGCATGTGTTAAAGTTGCTTACAGGGAGGAGAGATCAGCTGGTCTGGGTCTCCATGATTCGGAGCTTCATTCCATTTGAAAAGAAAGGGATGGTATTTTAAAATGTCATTTCATTTTCCAGGATTTGTCTTTGATCCTGTTCTCGCTTTTTCTAATCTTGGGTGAAATAAAGGTGACTAGGGTGTGTGTGTGAGTTCTGCGTATGCGTGTGCGTGTGCGTGTGTGTGTGTGTATGTGTATGTGCGTGTGTTCGTGCATATGTGCATGTATGTGTTTTCTTTCCAGAAGCATTTTAGGATTCTTGATTTGGAGGTAGAGACTGGAAAGTATATTTTGTTTTTCATACAAAATCTTTCTTCTGAAGGGAGGAGACACAAACTTCATTTGGAATTATCTTGAACTATTTTCTTTCTCTTTAAATCAGTTATTTTCATAAGAAGGGCATGAGAAGGGGCCATTCTGTAATACTCTTTAAGAGTCATTGAGCTTAGCTGTCCTCCTGGACAGCAGATCTGACAGATAATAAGAGACGGCAGCTGCAGTTGTGGTCCACATAGCTGTTCTGTGTGGCCTTTTACCTGTGCTCATACTTGGCCCATGGGCTCCTTTGGTTCATCCTTGTACAGAGCCAACCATTGTGCCACTTTCAGCTCTGTTCCTGTCTGACTGTGCTGTTGATCACTAGGCCAGTACTGCATCCCTGCTTAGGGCTTCCCAGGACTGTCTTCAGGGCCCACGTATAACCCTATACAGGGAAAGGCATTTGTTTATAGTTCCAATTTCACACTTTCAGGTATGTTTGCTCTTGTTAGTCATAAACAATGTGACAGATTGTGTATCAGATTTTAGAGAAATACTTTTGCATGCTTTTGGGGGTTTTAATGTTTTTTTAGATTACTTTTTAAAATATTTTATTTTTTTATTTTATGTGTATGAGTGTATTGCCTGTTTGTATATAAGTGCACACATGTTATACAGTGCTCACAGAGGTCAGAGGGTCTTAGATCCCTTGGAACTTGAGTTACAGATGGTTGTTTAGCCACCAAGTGAGTGCTGGGACCTGAACCTGGGTCCTCTGCAAGAGCAGCCAGTGCTCTGAACCTCAGCCATCTCGCCAGTTTGTTTTTGTTCTTTGAGACAGGGTCTTGCTATATAGCTCTGGCTGGCCTGGAACTCATTGTATAGAACACGCTGGCCTTGATCTTGTTGTGATTCTCTTGTCTCAGCCTCCAGAGTGCTAGGATTACACACCTGTACTACCCTGCCTTGCTCCAGAGAAATCTTTTATTAGAAATAAACATTTTAACAGATACATGAGTAAATGTTGCCATTTGGATTTTAGTATGTTCATACATAATTTATTATTTAACTTTGAAAGATTTTTGTCTCTAACCAAAGCTTTAGTTTAGTTCATGTGACTACTGTGTGCTGCAGACACCTTGTGTTTCTGTATCCCAAAGCCACAATTTTGTGATGCGCATTTATATGTCGTATTATTATTTGTTTTGGCAGTGTGCATCTGTACTATTTGTTTCCTAGTCTGGAAGAAGGAGGCTTAGCAACCTATCGGACCGCCATTGTTCAGAATCAGCACCTCGCCATGCTTGCAAAGGTATTATCAAGCATCTGAAGCAGCTGTGCTTGGGCCTGACGCTCTCTTCTGTAGTCCACACACAGTTCTGCAGTTGGATGAGTAACTCCTCAGACTATATTAGTGGTATCCTATTTTGTAGATCAGAATGTAGTGCTTGACTTATTTATTTATTAGTTTTAAGGATTCAGTCTTATGTTACCTCTGTGAATTTTACCAGTAGCTAATGAATTCCACAGTGAGGTAACTTAAAAACAGATGAGGAAAAAATTGACAGATGTACATGAATAGGTTAAACATTTGGGGAAAAGAAACATGGGAACAAAACAAAAGAAATACTTTATGTTCTCCCTTTGTGTAATATTTCTGTATTACAGTTGTTACTAATTTATGTTAACAAGCAGAATTATAACTCTGAATAGAATACTTCAGGTAATTCACATCCGTAAGTGGTACTTTTTAGACCTTTGAGACACCTCAAATCACAGATTGCATTAATTAAGATTTAGGGTTTTGGCTGTCTGGCTTGCCTCATTGACTGAGCTGAGTGACTAACCTCTTGATTCAGACTCAGGGGATTTTACATCCATGGTCTGATGTTTCCATGTCTTTGCTGTCTTACAGTAAATCATAACTGGTAGGAGCATGGACACTTTGGCTTTGCTGTCAAGGTTCTGTCTACCCCCTCCTAAAAGCAGGGTGGTCTGCAGACAGTTGGTTTCTCCTGCAAGCCCCAGTGGTCTCATCTGTAAGGTGGGAATGCCATTGGCTCCCACCACAGGCTGGTCATAAGAATTAAATGAGATTATAAGTTTTCATGAGTCTATTTATAAAGAGGTTTTCATGATCCTTGTTCATAGTAAACACTCAGAGATGTCAATAAATTTCTAGCAGCTAGTTATTTTTATTGTTGCTATCATTGTTCTTAGGATAAATCCTTACATTTTTATAGGCCTTTGCATTTATGCAATAACAGTACTATGACTCAAATCCACAAACCTCAGGGTCTACTAGAAAAACTTTGGTAAGCTTTCTTTTCTTTTTGCCTTAAGTAATAACCTCCCTCTTCATTTTGATATAAAAGTTGGAGAAGACTAATTTTATGACTGGTTTATTGATTTGATCTTGTCAAGGCATTAATTATATTTAAAATGTAGCCAGTTGTAGCATATTTTTTTTGTGTGTGTTAGCAAGAAAGCTTTGTTGTATTTTGTGTAATAACCACCATCACAGTTACAGCAGTGGGCTGTGAACTATGTCTGGTGGCATTTGAGAATGTAAATAGTGTTGTCTGTTGAAAACTATAAGCAATAGGGTAAGCTTAACTTGTAGTAGTCTCCCAATGGATGAAAATCCACAGAGCTATGTAAAGCTGTTTTAGCGTTTAGTTGATCTATCAAAATGCTTCCTGATAGTTCTATAAATGCCATGGTAGTATATATTAGCAAGGAACAGATTGTCAGCTCATTCTCTATTATTTCTTTTCAGTTTAGGGCATAGTAAAATTTCTTAACTATTCTTCAGACACTTGTAGGGATGACCCTAGGGAGGATATTTACCAAGTGTAGGAAATTGACATAGCTTGAAAACAAATCATTGCATAGCATATTGGATTTAATACAGAGCTGTGAGTAATGATAGGCTAGCCAGTGTCTCCTTACTTCACTGAACCCCTGTAGTGCACCCCTGACTCAGACTCCTAGGTTGTTGAAAATACTGGTGTCTACCACTAAGCCTGTCTCCTTTACTTTGATTTCTGTGGCTATTTATTTCTTGTCCTAATTAAATATCATTTTTTTTTAGAACTAGATACATGATGAATGAATATTTTCTTTTTTGTCTCGACCAGTGGTCCTTAACCATTTGGAAGTGGTGGGAATTGAAGAACAACTAACCTTTCTGTGGACCTTGGAGAGCTATGGCCCTAGTCCTCCCTCTTTTCTTTCTTAAAGTTCTACTGATGCCAATATAGGAAAGGAAGGACAGTAACGCGGGGCATGTGAGAAGCTGGAATTCTCAGCACTCCAGAATAGTTGTTTATAAGCAAAAATGCAGTTCATGGTCTGCTCTCAAGCAGGACTTGAGAGATAGCAAATAATTGGATTTTCCCAGTGAAGTTGTGAAACAGATGAAATTTACATACTCTAGGATAGACTCTCACACTTGGGGATCGATTTGTTTTTAAAAGATACTTCTGCTGTTGTATTTGTGGTAGTCAAAACTCTCATTTGAGTGTATTTTATACTCTAGATGCCTGTCACTGTTTCCAGTATAAATGGATATGCATGCTTAGTGTAGAGACTGAGACACATGAAATCTGAGTGTCTTTTATCTGGACTGAAGAGACTTACTGTGTCAGGTTGTTCATTCACTTTTGACATATTCCATATTACGTTGCATGTTTTTGTTTAGCGGGTATCTTTAAATTTAAGTTTATAGAAATGGAAACAGATTTATTGCAACATGGTTATGCAGTATTTATATCTTTTCCTTTAATGAAAAATACAATTTCTGCCAAGCATGGTGGCTCACTGTCAGCACTTGGGAGGCAGAGGCAGGCAAATTTCTGTGAGTTCAAGGCCAGCCTGGTCTACATAGTGAGTTCCAGGCCAGGGAGACCTTGTCTCAAAAGACCAAAAACAGAAAAAGAAAAATACAATTTCTGTCTCGTCTTACAAGAAAATATTCATTTGGGTCTAGTTCTAAGAGGATTTATATTTAATTGTATATTAGGGTAAGAAATAAGGAGCAACAGAGATCAAAGTACAGGAGTTGGGCTTGGTGTTAGATACCAGTATTCTCAGCACTTGGGAGTCTCAGAGGGTTGAGAGTTTGAGGTCCTAACTACATCATGAGACCTTGTATCAAAATCTTATGTAAAAATCCTTAAAGAAAATAAATAAAAGTAAAGGGAAAATATAGGTAAGACCATAAATTGAAACCAAAGATGAAAGAAGTATGCACCAATGTATTCATAAGCCCATATACCTGTACTGGGTTGCACATTTTCTAAGTCCAATTCAAAAAAGGGAATAATGTTTAGTACAAATGATCTTCCCCAAACCTTTAAGGTGGATCCAACTCATTACTTCGAAAGTCTCACTGAGCCACAGAAAGATGAATGTGGAGGCCTCATAAAGGGGATGTGTGTCTAAAACACAGAGGCCCTTAAATTCTTACCTAGTTAAAAAAGGTTTAGAGCTGTAAAGAAATCTCCTTTTCTCTACCTCCCAAAATCTGTTCAGCAGTGAAGACATCATCTGTATCACATAACTCTGGATTCAGGGGTAACTCTAGACCTTTGGGTTAGGTTTATCTTCACTAGGTGAACCCAGAGGCTCATATTCTCGTAGAAGAATCTTATTTTAGTGTATTCTCACCTTTGTTTTGGACTTGGATTTGGAGAGATTTTTTTCCTCCAAATCCAATCATTTTTGACTCCAAATCAAACAGTTGGAATTCGGAAAAGAAGTTACTCAGGATTGGCCTATGTGTAAAGGACTTCTAATGAACAGTAGACTCAACTAGCTCTGTAATAAACTAACATAAGGTTGGCAGGTTTGTAACCATCATTACTTTCTTCCAAGAGATGCTGAGTTATTTTGGCAAACTGTCTCTTATTTTTTATCATTTGGAATTTTGTAGAAACTTGAACTGGATCGATTTATGCTGTATGCTCATGGACCTGACCTGTGTAGAGAATCAGACCTCCGTCATGCAATGGCCAATTGTTTTGAGGCATTGATAGGTAATTGCTTTTTCAAATCTGCTTCTTGTATTTCTAAGCTAGCCGGAGAGCATACGAAATTCATTGTGGAAGCTTATAAGGAAATAACTTGCTCCTAAACACGTGGGCACCCACCATATTATAGTTATTTTAGATTCTTCCTTTAAAGAATTAATCATGCTTCCCAGGTTTTGTGTTCTTGGTATCTGACATCATGCTCAGTGTTTCCTGAAGTGAAGTGAACTAATGTGGAGATGGATTACTTTCTAGATTGGATTTAGGGTCACATATGTGAGCAAACAGAAACTAAGTTGCTAGAAAGTCCCCAGTGTTGTTTTTGAACACATTCCAAATTATTTGCAAGATTTTCTGATTTCAACATCTTTAAAACTCAATGTTTTTTAAATCCTAGGACTTGAATCTATATAACTACTGTTTGTTTTTGTGAAGCAAGACGGATACATAGATGCTAACTTCTCAGCTGTACATCTGCAGCATACGAATAGCTATTGGTAAATAATAGCTACAGAAAAATTATGAAAATTTAATTAACTGATCATTGTAGTGTGCTTTACAATAAAATGTTATAGCTGATTGACTGTTTTGTTTTTTAAGCTAATTTTTTTTGATTAAGTACATTATTTTCCAAAGTTCTTTGTACTTATTTTTGCCCTTTTTCTTTGAAAATGAACACAAAATTTCCTATTATAGTTTCATGTTGATGATAGTGGCAAAAGAATGTTAATAATTATCCAGTCTTTCACAGCAATGTGTGTTTTTCATAAATAGGTCTATTTCCAGAGAGTTTATTATATGAAATTACTGTGCTCTGTATACATAATGTTTGGCAATGTTACTGTTTGGCTCCAGAGCTCAGTAAACATGATTCAGTTCTTGTTCCATCAGTTGTCAGATCTGTGTCTTTGGCAAATTATCCAATCTCTGATCTTAAGTTTCCCTATCAGAGCTGGAGAGAGTGTCCCTTACCTCATAGAGTTCTTGAAAGAATCAGAGTGTCCAGTCCTGGCAGTATTCAGTCCAGAGCAGAGTTCCACTTAATTGAGACTTCCTGCTAATCACATAGGAGCCTAACTCCTACGCATCTTTTCTGACAACCTCCTGACCTGCCCTGTGAAGGTGGAAAGAAGAATGTGGAAATACTTAGCCTGGTGCTTGGGTAGTGACTCCCAAACCACAGTAGCTATTACTGTTAAAATCATTTTGCTTTAACTATTGATAAATGTAGTAATATGTAGTCATCAAAAGCCCTGGAAATTTAGCACCTTAACCTTGGATGTGGAAAAGTAACCATTCTGAAGATAGAAAAATTTGATTTCAAGAAAATATGACTATTCTATTCCAGGTTTATTTGGTACCAACTTAGAATGTTATCATTGTGCTTACTTATTTGTGATTAATGCTAAATGTATAACTTAGTTATTTCAAATTATAGGTAAAGTTTACACTGGTTTTTATTTACAGAAGTCTTCACTGATCTAGACTCTGGTCTAGATCTTTATACATGTCTTTTTCTTAGTCATCAAAGGCTTTGTCATCCAGGGCTTTTGATACATGAATCCCTGTTCTGAAACATACACCATAAATAAAGTAAAATGAAGCATTAACATTTCTTTACATGGCCAAGTATATGTGCAGCGTCCCTTTAATAGGGTATATAATCCCTCCCCCCTTCAGGAGAATTCATGTTTGGTCTTTTCTGCTTATAGAACTTGGATTTTAATGAATTGACTTTCTATTTCAGTCTGATTTCTAGTTCAAAACGTAGCTAAAAGGGGGAGAATGTTACCTTTAAAACAATCTCTTACTAACTCACAGGTTTTCTCCAGTGACTGGTTTTGGCTTGCCTTTTCACTTTTTATGGAGACATGTAATTTTCTCTGAATATTAACTCAGACTTCCTTTTGACACTGTCTTCCCTTTGATCTAGGAGCTGTTTACTTGGAGGGAAGCCTGGAGGAAGCCAAACAGTTATTTGGACGCTTGCTCTTTAATGATCCGGTATTTATCTTCAGTCATTTTGTTTTCTTCAACTATATTATCAGTATAAAAGTTTTGTAGCTTGAAATGACTATGAAAGACTTAAGTCACTTATAGCTGCTAGGTATTCAGTATATTGGCAACAACTTATGCAACTCTAGCAGATACTGAGAATTTTGTGGCATTTTTTCCAGGAGTTTTTCTTTCACTTGAATAATCTTTCCTTATGGACACTTACAGATTAAATATGAATACAAAAATAATAGGACTTAATTTCATTTTCAAGTTTCTTGAAGTTATTTAGCCCCAGCTGGCCTGGAACTCACTTTGTAGACCAGGATGGCCTCGAATTCACAGAGATCCGCCTGCCTCTGCCTCCCAAGTGCTGGGATTACAGCCGTGTGTCACCACGCTCTGCTCAATTTTGCATTTGTAAATAAATGGATTCCTATCCCATGCAATCTTAGTTGAAGATAATACCCTTTTGGGTTTTGTGTTTATGATATTTTTCTATAAATTATGCAGACTAAAAACTGCATATTTATTTTAGAAACCAGTTCACAGGAAGTTTCTGATGAGACTATGAATAAACAGCATAGAAGAATTTTTTTCCCAAGCAAATTATAATACTCTAAAATAAATTCTGTTACTGAAGCATTAAGCTATTAATTTTGGCCAGAGATACTCTATTTAATCTTGCATGGACTAGAGCATCCTAGATGCTTTTTGTACCCAAACAGGTCAATTTAACATGTAAAGAGAAAGGCAACTCTGGATTCCAAATTGAAATGTCATAATAATTGAATGAAATAGCCCTTGTGGAGTAATAAAGAACACACGAAGCCAGGGTTTTAAGCCTCTGTGAAACCTTCAGCTTAAGTGGCTGTCAGATGTTATTACTGCATTACTTTGTGTAGCTAGAAAAAAAAAAAAGGAAAAAAATCAATAGTTTTAAAAAGTGTGACCTGTGTGATGTTATATTCAAGAATTAAAGTTTTTTATTTGTCTTTCTAGATAACATGATGATTTTTTATGTGTGTATTCTTGTGATGGGAAAATTATCTACAGATGTTCTGTGGTCTCCCATTTTGTCCCACATAAACAACTGCGTCTTGATTTGTGTCTGTGGCAGATGGCATGTATCTTAGGACTTTTTCTCAAATCTTAAAATATCATTGTTCTGGCCTTTATCCTTTGTTGGCAGTTTCTGCCACCTCCTTCCTGTTTTCTCCCTCTTTTCCCTCTGTGCTTCCCCTGCCTCCACTCATCCCTGCCCCTTTTCCTTCCTTAACCTGGACCCACCCCTGTGCTCTTCCCTGCTTTTTTGTATCTCGTGTTCTTAGTTTCATCCATTTGCGTTCAGATTCTTTTCTTTCTTTAAACTGCTCTGTCCCACTTGTCTACTTAGCACGCTTATCTTAGATTGTCAGTGCCTAGTGCAGTGCTGACCTGCATAGCATTTAATGATACCTGTTAAAAGTGAAATCAAGAAGTGACTAAATGGAAAAGCAGAGTCTGAACGTTATCTTACAAATGGAGTGACTGAGGTTCAGAATTCATTTTGGTGTGTCTTTTATAAACTGAACAGGGCTCAGTAATACACAGCTTTCCACTTCAGTGTTTTCAAGCATACAGACTTGGATATTTTAAATTGTTTGACATCTCCAAATTGGCTTGACTTTTAGCTATAGAATTAGCCAAGAAATGTGGACAAACCATTGTACATTGTACACACACACACGTGTGTGTGTGTGTGTGTGTGTGTGTGTGTGTGTGTGTGTGTGTGATTTTGTCATGAAAATGAATCAGCCAAACACAGCCAGGGACAAACCTGTGGCAACTAGTGCTGGAAGGAGGGAAGCATCCTTTTAAGGCCAGGGCTGGGCTGAACAATGGGGTTTGGCTGCCTTGTGTGAGACTGAGGTAAGAAAAATAAGGAATTAATTTGGTGAGTTGAAGATGGCTAACAATGGCCTGTACCCTGTAGTCCTTATTCAGGGATAAGACACAGCAGAGCAGGTGAGGACAATGCTGTCAAAAGGCAGAAGGTGCTCAAGGGGGTCCTTGTTACATTTCATAAGCTGGTGGGAGGGAAGCCGTGTTTCCTGTTCTTGCTGTTGGCACTCTGCGCGCTCTTCCCGACCCTTTTCAACAGCAGCACTGTCTTTTCTTTTTACCCTCAACTGATTTTTACTTTCAGCAACAGACAATATTTGCTTTTAGTCTTTGTGTAACCCTTTAGGTTTACTCACTAAGTTTGTATGCATCAGAAGCTTCATTTTGATTGACGATGGAAAGGTATTATATACTTTTCTGTCTCTACCTCTGTCTTCTGTTTGTGTATCTGTCCCCAACATCTCTGACCCAGGCCTTTCTCTGGCACTCTAGAAATTGGAAAAGGTGGCTCTTCAGATTGCTTCTGGGCAGCATTACCTAGGTGTTCCACAGACTCACCATTTCAACATGTTTAGTATTGGCCCTGTCACCTTTAGTTCCCCCAAATATTTTACTTTTATTTTTTATCTTTTAAACCAGAAACCTTAGGATCTTTTCTGCCCCTAAGCTTTTTTCTTCTCTGTGTCCATTCAGTTTTAAATTCCCATCACTGCTGACCCAGGTGACTTGGATTGCTTTGCTGTTGGCAGTCCTGCATTCCCTCATCTCTCACCTGTTTAGCTGGCTATCATCACTCACTGCTCCAGGCCATTGTTATGCCAAGTGTTGTTTGAGTGCAGGGACCTTTCTAGTTTAAGATATTTGATTACTAGCCACCAAAATCTATAATATACAACACAATAGTTAGAAGTTTTCTTGATCTGATCCCCCCCCCGCCCCATTTCAGTCTCTTTCCCACTTTCTGTGCCATTCCTTAGAAATTTCCTTTTTGTGCCTATGTATGGCTTCTGTTTCTCACCCTCTGCTGGTTTGCTAGGTTTCTGATGTCCTTCAAGTCTTCCTGGAAGATCTGTCCACAGCCCATCAGAAGTGTGTGGCTTTTCCTCTGTTCCCACTCTCTCCTATCTTGTCACAGCCCAACATCCTACAACTAACCATTCTCAACTGCACCCATTTCTTTTCATAGATTTAATCTGAGAAAATGGCAGCTGTGGCATAGTTTAGAATAATTTTTTATACTATTGGACCCTACTGCAGGTTATTTTATTAAATACTTTCATTCTTTCTGATTGGGCCCCTTTGAGGACAGGGCAGTGTTCTATTTATCTTAGTACCTCATATGTAATAGGTGTTTAAGGTGAATGTGCTGTGTTAATGAATGATTCAATCAGTCTTAACCATTTTTCAGAAGCATGCCCAAGTCCTAGAGCTAATTGGTGGTATCACTGGGATACTGATCTACACCTTCCCAGTGTATTTTCTCTGATACCACACTGGGGTTGATGAAAGGAAATGAAGGTGGGTGAAATAGTCTAGTTGTGAGATGGAATGGGGTTGTACAAAGACAAGTGGCTGTGGACATCAGAGGAGAAAGCACAGTATTTCTAACTGAAAAGCATGAAGTAACAGGGAGACTGTGAATCAGCATGTCCCTATGAATCTTGACCTTTGGAAAAATTGGGATAGGACTGAAGAGAAAGCTGATTTATTGTTGTTGTTGTTGATGCATTATTATTGAAAGTAGTATTTTCTTTGGCCAGGCACTGGGTTTAGTTCTTTGAGTACATTACTCATTGAGGTATCAGAGACTACTTTGAAGTAAGTGCTAGGATTATCTTTGGCTTATACCTGAGGAAATAAAGGCTTAGAGAGACTAAGTAAATTATCAACATGGAATCAGAGTTAAACCTAGGCACCCCACCAGATCCTGCAGCTCTTCCTAACACTGTATACTTTAGCTTAATGTGAAAAGGGAAGCGTTGTCTGGTTGCATTTGGGGTAAAAGATGCCTGTAAGGCACTCAAAGTTCCAACTTAAATGAGGGGTCATTTTTATAGCAGAATAAAATAATTCAGCTGAAGCACTATTGAAAAGCAGTAAGAACGGTGGTGCACGAAAGAGGAGACTAGCCAGAGGCTGGTGGGGAAGTGTCCTGTAGTCTACAGGAGGGAGAGCAAGGCACTGAGAACATGGAAGCTGGGGAACGGAGTACAGTCAGTATAGTTCACACTACAGGGAATTCAAGAGAAAGGGCGTTGGTTTGGTTAACAGAAGTCCCTTCATGTGCCTTTAAAGAAGAGTGTGATTTTTAAACCCTTTAAATATCGGCACTGAACCTCTATGTTTTGCTAAGTTGTGAGTTGTACAGAAATATTAGGCATTTTATTTTGCTTTATCATCTTGTATATTACAATCTTAAATTTTCCTGTACCCCTCCAGAAAAACAAACTTATGAAAAATATTTTCCTTTCATTTCAGGTTATTTTTCCCACTTCTTTAAAAAAACCTAACATCAAGGCCTAAAAGTAGATTCAGTCAGAGGCTCCCTGGAGTCTGAACTTGAAGGAAAAACACTTTAACCCTGAGAAGATTCTAATTATAACTGCCCTTGGATTTAACTCAGCCAGTGAAATAATATACTTGAATTTTCCATAAAATTAATTCATTATCATATTTCAAGTAAACATTTGTGCGACCCACAGTAAAAGTGTGATTTCGTAAATGTTAGAGCTTATGAACCAGATATGGGATATTTCCCTCTCCATTTGAAACAAGCTCATGTGATGGTAAAGCAGTGCCTAAAGAAGTTTGAGGTGACTCCTCATACAGAAGGCACAGCTAATCCACAGTTCTGGGGAATGGCGAGTTGGAAAATAGGAATAAAACAGTAGATTATCCAGTGTATTAAGTTAAGCAAATGTGTAGCTTAGTTTTAAAAGGCATCTTTGACTTCTGCGGGTTGGGGAGGCTTTTTTCTCCTCAGCTTAATGGGCTAATTAGAGTCACTACAGGCAGTTTCAGTGGTGCACACACTTTTAAAAAATTAGTTTGCTAGCACTATTGAATTTGTATCAAGTGGAGTCAGCATCTGAAATAGTTCAGTATTTCAAATAATGACATTTTATTTAGTACTCTAGAGTGTGTTAAATGATTCCCTTGAGCATTAAAGACATCATTCCATTTTCCAGGACCTGCGAGAAGTCTGGCTCAATTATCCTCTCCACCCACTCCAAGTAAGTGTGACCTTCTTGTCTACAGTGAGCTTTAGGACGTTAGCTGTTTCTTCTACCTTCCTTTGTCTTTTTTCTCCTCCTACCTTCATTCTTTGACGACTCTTCACTGGTATCATAACTTTATACTGGGTGTCAGAATGAGAAATTTTGGACATAAATAGTAAAATGTACCCATGTGTTGTATGTGTTCACATGGTCTGGAAAGCATGGGGGTCGTCTTTCCTTATACAGCAGAAAGAGCTGCTGAGGAGGTATAGCCTCCACCCCAGCAGGTGCTGTGCAGACTATGCTGTGTTGGCTTTTCTGTAGCTTTGTACCTGAAGTTAGGGACGATGATGTCAGAGGCAAGTCTAGGTATAGAGAGCAAGTAGAACAAATATTAAACTTAACATTGATATTATAACTTAATTTGGATCTTGCAAATTGATTCAGATTGCATAAAATTTACTGCACCTTAAAAATATAGTGCCATATCATGGCCTTTTACTTAGCATTTAGCAATTTTAAAGATCCATACATGGTAACATGCTTTTCTTTTGTTGGGTCAAAAAGTCCTACTATTCTGCACTTAACTTTCTCCTTTACGGTATAGGCACAAGTATTTCACCTAATCTGCATACTTTATTATATATGCATATGTATATAAAATAAATAGGAATAATGAGTCATCGAACTTCTGTGAGAGGTTTTATAATAGTAAAAGGCAACTCAAAGTTCATTAAGAATATTCTATTAAAAATATAAGGTCCCCAAAGTTGTTGAAAATGTTGATTTTAGTTATACTTTTTATATTTTCCCTTTGCTGGTTGTTAAAGGCTCATTGTTATGTGGAGCACCACCTGTCTAGTGGAGTAGTAATCTCCAGTGGAAGCTGAATTCAGTTTTAATGATGCTCATTTGCCAAAACAGTTTGGTCCCTAGAAGACACACAATAGTTAAGTTACTGTGAAAGTAGTGAGCCTCAAAGGGCAGGTCCCAGACCAGCAGCATCACATCACCTGGGAACTTATCAGAAAGGCAGATTCCCAGCCTTCACTCCAGGCAGAAAAAGTTGGGCACTCCCGGATAGTGCCTAGCCATCTGCTGTTAGCAGCCCTGCAGGTGTGTGCATTCATGAATACTGAAGTCTGAGAACCACTGCTTCACCGGTTATATACACATCCTCTAGCAGCTGTTCCTCAGCCTGCGTCTTCCTTAGAGAGTTAGTCTAATACTAGGGATTTTGAACTATCTGTGTACAGAACTTGGCCTTGAAATTTGATAGAAGATTGGAAAATATTATTTGAGCCTTCTTTAAATATTAGGTTTGTTTGCCATTGTAAGAGATGAGAAAGAGGCTTCCATGTTTTATTTGGCATTTTAGAAATTTCTGCCATGGGAGATGGAATTTTACAGAGTGCTGTCCTGGAATTGATAATTACTCTTGTAACAAAAATCTACATGTGATCTTAAAATTTATTTCTGTATTTTTCTATAGCTGCAAGAGCCAAATACAGATCGACAACTTATTGAAACTTCTCCAGTTCTACAGAAACTTACTGAGTTTGAAGAAGCAATTGGTGTAATTTTTACTCATGTTCGACTTCTGGCCAGGGCATTCACATTGAGAACTGTGGGATTCAATCATCTGACCCTGTGAGTTCAGAGCTCTCATGTAGTGCTAACGTTTAGAGGAGGTAGTTCCAGCCTTCCTGTGCCCTCCAAAGGGATTGAGATTTCAAATGCCCCTCAGAAAGTCACACAGTCAGATGAGCAGCCAGACAGTGGTGTGGACCACAGACTATGCTCTAATCCTGTAGTTTTGGTCCAGTTTATCATACATCTTTATTTCTTCATGAAGTTTATGAGAAATCTGAAGGGAGTAAAACTTTTGTCCATACAGGAATGGGTATTAAATATTGTAAACTTTGCAGGCTGTGAGGTCAAGTTGTCATTATATGAGTTTGCCATAATAGTATGAAATCATCCAGAGTTTAAAAAAAAAAAAAAAGTATGACGACTTTCTAGTAAAACCTCCAAACAGGCTGTGGGCTGGATTTGGCTCTCTGACCCCTGCTTTAGATGAATGATTTGATGATGGGCTATTGAAATAATTTAAAAAATAGGCAAACGGTGGCCTATAGATGTAGCTTGGTGGTAGCATCTTGCACATGTGAAACCCTGAGTTCAATCTTCAGAACAGAAAAAAAAGGGAGAGAATTGGCAAAATTATAGGTTTAAGGGTTATGTGATTTGTTGCTTCCTTCCCCAAAGTGAAAAATTCCCAACTCATTAAATTATTATAAAGTTTAATTGTAGATTTTTTTAAAAATTCTTAAATTCAAGATTGGAATAAATAGCATATGTATTTAATAGATTTAGTAAAAATAAATAAAATAAAAGTAGGGCCTTTTGCTTTGCTTTGTTAAAAAAGTGTTGTTTATATTTAATTTATTTTTCAATTACTATGCCTCAGCTTCTGGGCAGGCGCTATGTACCAGTCTTAATTTTGTGGTCATTTACTATACTTACTTAAAGTGTTCTTCTTTGGAACTCAATCCTTATTAACTCAACAGGGTTTTTTTTTTTTT